TTCTTTATGGAACAAAAGAAAAATGAGTTGAGCGCCATTTTAGTATGGACGATAATATCAATTTTCTTTTGCATAGACTTAGAATTAGCATATTTTTCACATTTATTGTTTCGAAAACTATTTTTTCTGATTTACCATCGAAAACTGAGTATAAAAGGCTGAAGTTCTGAATTTTAAAGTTGAAACTGACCGCCAAATTCACGGGATCGGAACAGAATCGTACCTACCCTACTGTCAAATTTGCCATATCTAATTTTTTCTATCGAAAGACTAAGCATTAATTGTAAAATCGGTCTGCCAGCCCGAGAAAGCTTTTTTCAAGAATCTTTTTTTACCAAAATGTTCGTTACGTTCGCTTGGTATAGTTTTCAAAGCTTTAAACTGTAAACTTCCTTGATAGTTCAAAAAATCAATTACATAGTTGTACGGAAAATTTTTGCAGCTCTTCTCGAAGAGAAGAAATTGTCAGAAGAGAAAAGCGTTAAAACAACGCTAACTGAAAAGTTAGTTACCGTTACTTTAACGATAATTGTCTTTCCAGTTACCGTTGAAGTAACGGTGACTATCAGTTAATTAACTTTGTGGTAACTATTTTTTAAATATGGCAGAAATATCCGTACAGCGGTTTAAAATAGCTTCCAAAATCCACTAAAACTGTGGAAACTATTTTGTAACTGCGGCTTTTAAGGTCTCTGGAGACCACAACATCTCCAACCAGCTTTACAAAATTTCACAGAAAGTATTATCAAAAATTATGGCAGGAAATTCCTCCTTCAACAATTCACACAAAAATCTATGTTTTCTAATTAATGAAAAACAAAATTTCTGAAGAACTAAAACGAGCTGAAAAACAGAAATTCACTTCTCCAAGTTTCAAAGAATCAACGGAATTCTTCAACCAGTTTTGAAAATTCGAAAAACACTTTTTTTTTAGTGTAAAGTGTAGTAGGGCACATTATGTGAACAAATTTCATCTACCGTAGTATACCAAGATAAGATTCCGACAAGCTTAATAGAATTTATCAAAACGCATTAGATAGCTATGTTAATAGACGTGTGTTTTTAATTTATTATGGTTGATAGCAGTACAATCGTCGAACTGTCTATGTTTTATGCAAAGGTTATGATATCGCGATGAAGAGCTTGACGATAAATAACAAAATACTTTCGTAGGTTTGTTACGATGATTTGAAGCAACAGAGACCTAAAGCCCGAAGGTCATAAGTAGTAACCTTAAGCATTTGATACATCATACATCATTGTAGGAACAAGAACGACGACAACGAACATCATGTTACTAATCAGTGCCAGTAGAGGACAAATTGTTTTCGAAAAGAATGAATTAGTCAGTTCAAGAATGCAACGCAGGTTATTTGAAAAATACATCTAGCATAGCCAGAAAAGACTTCACATGGAACATATGGGAGTGGTCCGGATCACTATTTTACCTATATATTTAAGTCCATCTCGAGTCGTGTTCTTCAAGCCCGTTACTTTACTTTATATATTAAAAACAAGATCTGAAAAAAAATCACAACAGAAGAAAACTTCTCCTCTTCTCATTTTTCTAGAAACAGTATTTTATAATAACCATTTTGGTTATATAAATAACATTTCTACATTCTTCTTTTTCGATGGTAACAATTCAACGTCTTCGTTTGAATTCAACCAGCAGGTCACAGCCAACAATAGCTGTGCCAAGATATTCCTTTACCCATTCTGTTAGCAACTCTGAACAATCCAAATTTAAAATATCGACGTAATACTTACGTCGTCTTCCACTTGGAGTTGTTCCGGTAACCGATCGATATACTGCTGATTTTTTGTTTTTATCATCTGAGTGCGCTAAGATTTTCTATGCGACACCTGTGTTTCCATTCCCCCAATGATCATTCTGATTTGATAGGACCTACTACCGGCACCTTCTTTATGTTAAACGACACTAGACCTGATGACTTTTCAAAACCATAAAAGATTTTAAGAAAAAAAAACTGTTGATTTTTCATTATTTAGAATGACTTACAGAAGATCTGGAATCTGAAAAAACTTAACGTAAATTTGACTTTGAAGAGAAAGAGGTTAAAAAACTACGAAAATAGTAATAATAAAAATAGTTGAATATCCAACATATGGCGAATGTGCGAGAACCATGTGAATCATCAAATAAGAAGTGCTTGATAATAATTGTCAGATGCTACTTCTTTTAAAATTTAATTAAAATTCATTCGTTAGTGTTTGTTTTATTAAATAATCTTCTGAAAGCAACGATCTTGCATTTATCTTGAGCATCTCTTATATCAACTTATAACCAACAAAATTTTGTAATTACTGTCAACTACAGTACGATTTATGATCCACTCACATTTGACTCTGATAAATTTGAAGACAATTTCTGTGTCAGTATAGTTACGTGACAGTCAGATCTGTTTCTCTCTGGTTAATACTGTCTCTACTCAGTTAAAAATGACTTAAATCTGCTCAAAATAATGTAAGGTTTAGAAGTTGGTCATAGTTATTACATTTTAGTCTATCGTATAAAAAACGTGATATACGTAAGATATTTTTTCACCATAACACACAAAACGAGACGAAAAGTTTTTATTCCTTTAGTAGAAAAAATAATGACTAGAGGATCATTCACTATGGAAGTTGACTTCTTTTTACACTTTATGCTTAAGACTGACTAAGTGTCATTTAATGAATAGCTTCGAATAAAATGACGAAGTATGTATTCGTGATAAAAAATGTTGGAAGAAAGGAAGTGTTTTATTTTCAATTCTGTGAGGCACATTTTTTGATTACAGGTGTACTAAGTGATGTCATGCTAATATTTAACTACTCAGTGTGTTCACTTGACGTTTTTTCAATCATCTAACATGCATCAAAACCTCAAAGTAATTATTTCTATTCTTACTCACTTAAAACAGAGGTATAGATATTGTTATTTATGTTTAGGCTAAATCGTGTCACATCCTATTGATACCTCTGAATACAACCAATGATAAAATTATTCAAGACATTACAGAACGACTTCAACGACATTGTAAGCACAAATCTTTCATATGTACCATTTTAAGTTGAGTTTTGAATACTTTAGATCATCATCTTGATCAGGGTACGATCATTATTCGAACACTATATGACTACGTATCAAATTATGAACTATTATTACCATTTGGATATCAATTAGCAAAACAAAATTCACAATTATTTATCGAAACTCTTTGCAAACTATGTCCAATTCGATTTTACATTATCGGCAATGATGTTACATTCAAAAATACTTGGGCAAAAGATATGATGGATTATGATTTGAAAAATCATAAAGTAAACGATTTAGATATACCCAATGTTTGGCGATGTTTACAAAGTGAATCATTTAAGATTGATATTGAAAATATTCGAGCTATAGAAGGTTTAGAATATCAGTTGAAACAAATACCAGTATTATTCTTAGAAGAAATAGAAAAGAATGATTTGTCCGGTGATTTTTTGAAACTTATCAAATGTGCAGATTCGACATTAAAGAAACGTTCTGATGATGTGACACGGTTCTTATCGAATTGGTTCAATACAGCAGTTAACCTTAAACAAATATTAATTAAGGTAATTTTTTATGGTATGCAAAAGCCTTTTCCAACTGTCTCGTGTTTTTTAGACTGAAATTGTATCGGATCCTGAAAATTTCACACTTCCTACAGTTAGTCTTATTGCATCAAACATTGTCGATTATTCAGTAGTATGTACTGCAATGGATATTCGACCCTACATTAGACATAGTTTACGACCATTAGTATATCTCAATTATTTCCAATGTACAGAGAGTGAGAAAACAAAAAGTTTTGAGCTGATAAAAAATATTTGTGGTTCGAAATATGAACTGATCACTTGTTCACGATATTACAATTGGAAAACAAATTCTAATATTCTTGATCTTATTAAAGAAGATTGTATATACTTTATTAACATATATGGTACGGATTTGGATGAAGCAACTGAAAATCAAGTAGCTGAGTATTCTTTAGCTAAAAAGATCTGTTCATCTGTGCCGAACAGTCAAATGACAACAATTACTCCTACTAATCGATTACGTCTTCATGATCCTCGTACACATGATTATCGTTATATCGCCTCGAATGTGTACATTGCCTATCTTCATTGTACTGAAGAAGAAATTCAAAAAATTCGAAGAACAATTAATTAAAC